CATGCTTGCATTTATAGTAATGTATGAATTTTGTAATATGTCTATGATTGTTTTCACAATTACGTGTGTATATGCACGCTTGCAGACTTTGCCAATTACATTTTTGTATACTCCTTGCTACAGGGGGGCAAACAAACTAGAAAAGAGAGGACTTTGGCTATGAGACCCATACAAACCCGCAAGCTAGAGCTATCTTCATCTTTCATGTTATTTTAGGCAATGAAAGTCTTAATATTGATTTGTTCTATGCTTTCGCTTCTTCCCTATATCCTTTTCCCATGCGTTTCCTATTATGATGTCATTTCTAGACCTCTTGATGCGCATCATTTCATTCATTTTGGTGTGTATTTGCCCGTCTCTCCAATTATACCTGGGAGCCGGGCGCCTTGACTACATGCCCAAATGCTGGATATCCGAGTTGAGCCCCATTACACGTCATTTGCCTGAGAGGCGAGTGACCTGTCCTTGCAACCTTTTTGCCAATTTCGGGTCATCATTCAGGTATTATAGTACTCGGTGTGCCCTGGTGTGCATGACGGCTATACTTGACACAGCGTTCAATGAGTTTGGCCCCGGCCTATCTGGCTTGCCATTCGTCACTGTCAGAGGTACATTATCTGTCTTTCATTCATTTTGCTGGGCTGGGCTAAACGGCGGAGCGTCCCTCATGGAGAAACCACACGAAAGTTCAAATTGTCTATAGTTCGAAATTCCATACAACGTTAATGGAAAATATGCAAGCTAAATGGATCATGGCGTCATGCACTTTTTCCATGAATGCAGGTAATCCGATATTTATTAATCATGTTTTTCAATTATGCGAAGAACTGCATTTTGTTTTAAACGGCCCAAAACACTCCTTTTTATAATACTTTTTAACAACATTGTCGAAGTTGATGTAATCTTCTGAATTCCAATGGCCTGGCAAAATAATTCAAAAAATAGCTGTTGAAGTAGCTTTATTGCTCTTGCTATAATGGATATTTTATAAATATTGAGTAGAAAAGATTACTTTTTAAAATAACGGGATCGCAACTATCTGACAATTCAACTGTGATGGGATATCCCTTTAAAAGTTCCTATTTTATTATGCATCATTCTCCTCAGGCTTTTATCGAGACT